CCGCCATGAGCGCCGCCGCTGGCTGCAGGCAGAGTCGCTGCCGCCCCGGCCGCCGCTGGCTCCAGTCCGCCGCCATTATTCTTTGTTCGCTGCGAGCGGCGGCGATGTTGTGAGGCTCGGGCGGAGGCTCCATCTTTACCGCGGCCCCTCCTGCGAGGGGAAGGCCCCGAGCGCGGGTGTCCAGCGCCTCCCCGTCCCCCCTCCGTCCCCCCGGCTCTCTCCGGCTCCTGCCTCCTCCTCCTGCTCCTCTTACCGGTGGTACAAGCTCCTCCGTCACTGCTTTCGTTCGCGGCCCGGATCTCGCTGGAGTTTTATTCTCTCCCCCACGTAACACACCGCGTCAAACTACACCTCCGCCGCGTCACTCACCAACACTCCGCTTCTCCCAGCCGCCCGGGCCACAGGCAGCAGCAGCCGCCGCTGACTGAGGAGCCGCAGCCAGGGAGCCAGCCAGCGCCGCCCAGTGCCGAGTGCGCAGCGGCCGCGCACGGAAACAGCCGATCTCGGCCCGGAGGAGCCCGAGTGACCCCGCCCCCTGCGATGGACGCGGAACTTGCCGAAGGCCTTCGGACTACTTCGGACCTGGCGAAGTGGTTCTTCAGCTAGGAGCTGCTAGCTGCCTGATGAAGATGGGCAGAGACCTGCGAGAGGGTAGGAGTGGTTAAACCGCACTGTGGTGTTTCAGTGAATTAAACCGAACGGCGGAAATTTGAAGAAGGAAACGGGGTTTGTGTGTGACCCAGGGGGAATTCCCAAGGCTGCAGAAGACTGATGGAAACCCCCGCCTAGGCCTGTCCATGAGGCGGTAAACCGAGAAAGCTCTAGGGCAGTCTCGCCGGGCCGGGCCTTGGCTCCTGAGCGCCGCCCACCCGGGGAACTTTCAAACGCTCCGTGTGGGACGAGGCTGCCATGGAGGGGTTGTTGAGGAGGGAGAGGAAGGGGCAATTGCGCCTCAGCGGACGCACCCCCCGAGCCTGCGGCCTGGCCCAGCGCTGGGTACCGAGCGGCCTCTCTGCCGAGCATCCCCTCCGCCTGGTGCCCTGGGCTGATGCTCCGCCGTCGCCAGCGCACCGGGTCTCTTCGGAGGCCGAGGCTGCCGGCTCCTTTGGGCCGTAGCGCGGGGAGTCGCGGTCCCTAGCGGAGTTCAGAGCCGCAGGGCGGGCAGCCGAGACCGCGAGCTCCCCCATCGGCCTTCGGCTGCTCTTGGTCTCCACTCTGGAAATACCCCCTCTCCTGCCCGCCTTCCTGTCGGCAACATCCTGTGTCGCGTTCTCCTCTCAGCCCGCTTTCTTCAGCAGTGGTTTGCGCCATCACACCTCCTCACCACAACCCCTACCCCAAAGCCGACTGTGACTTCCGTTGCACAGAACTGGTGAAACTGTTCTTTTGGAGGTCACCCAACGCCATGCTACTGATACCACGGCTCTTGTTTTAACACTGAGCTCTGCAGTCTTTCCCTGGCCTTTCAGGTCTCTTAGTCTCTTAAAGCAAACCTACCTTTTGAGAGCTGGCCGAGGGTTCAAATCCGGGCTCTGCCACCAAATGGCTTCCTGTAACAAAGAGTTGCCCTTCCTCAAGTCTGTACCCTTGATCCTATCTCCTCTTACTTTCTCGAGGACTTGGAGCTGAAGACTACCACCTTATTTTTGTGTTTTCAAGGCTATCATCGAAAACGGCTCTTTTACTTCATTTAAAAATATGCATTGTTGTTATTGTTAAGTGCCTTGGAGTCGATTCTGACTGGCGGGCTCCGAGATGGCGGACTGAGTGGTCCATCCTCTACTTACCTTTGGAGCTTGTTGTTGTTAAGTGCCGTCGAGTCTGTTCCAACCCATAGCTGCCCTCTAGCGGGTTTCCAAGGAGCGACTGGTGAGCTTGAACCACCAACCTTGAAGTTCAAACTGACTTTGCAGTCTAGCGCATTAACCCACAGCTCCACACCAGGACTTCATATGGAACCTGAGTCTCGTTTATTTAAGAAGGTTTCTCTCCTTCCTACGGCCTTCTCCAACCACTACTCTACCTGTGTCCTCCCCTTTGACATTCGCTCATCTACTTTTCAGCTCTCTTCATTATAGATTCTGACCCTACCAACTCACCTGAAGCATCTCTGAATCGTTAGACAGGCTTCAAGTGTCTACCTCCAGTGGACAATTTCTAGTTCTCAAGATCTCATCTTAGCATTTCACACTATTGACTATACCTTGTTCTCAATAAGGTTTTCCTGTTCCTTTGGTTGCTCTTTAATAAGTAGCATCTCCCTATGTCCACCCTTAAATATTGGAATCCTGATGAGCCTTGGCCCTCTTCTTGAATCCCATCATATACACTGTCCTAGGTGGTCTCATTCTTTTCCATTGGCTTCAGATGGTATGTGCTGTCAAGTAGGTTTTCCAAGGAGCAGCTGGTGAGTTTAAACCACTAACCTTGCAATTAGCAGTCCAGTGCTTATTCTATAGCACTACACAAGGCTTCATAATACTGTTTATCGAAGACTTTTCAATCCATTACTCAGGTCTAGATTTTGCTATTGAATTCAAGATTAATATTTCCAGCTCTCTATGCCACGCTTTCAGTTGGATGACCAGGACCTATCAAACCACCCTGACTATTGACACAAAACACCTGGGATACTTTCAACATGTTAGACTTACTCAGACTCTCTGCCTCCTAAATATCTTTTGGATTTGTTACCCCTCTGGTGGTACTGTGAGATAAGCACTGGACTGCTGACCACAAAGTTAGCAGGTCAAACCCACCAGCCAACGTGCAGGAGAAAGATGAAGCTGTCTAGCCCATAAAGATTTACAGTCTTGGAAATCCTAAAGAGCATTTCTGCTCAGTCCTTAGGGTCACTATGAATTGGAATTATCTTGATGGCAGTGGATTTGGTTTGTTGTTTTATTTTCTTTTTGATCTCCATTTCCATTGCTACTCTTTCATTCTCACTCCAGTCTAAGCTACTTTCATCTCTTGCTTGAAGACCTGCAAAGTAGAGGTGATCATGGGAGATAACATGACACAGTTTAATATGTTCCTTAAAAGAGGTCCATGAAAGGCTTCAGACAGAAAGTGGTACTTGAGAGGTTTTCTGCAACCAGGACTTCCTTTTAAACCTATTTCTATTTTTACTATTGAACCTAATTTTCATCCTCACTATGTACTCGTGTTCCATGAACCCTCCCTTTCCTTCCATCTCTTCACTTTTCATGACTTGATTTACTTTCTTACCTAACTCCAAAGGCTATGGTGTCTTGTATTTATTCCAAATCTTTCAATATTCTTCATCCTTGTCCAACTTTCACATGCATATGAGGTGATTGAAAATACTATGACTGGGGTCTGGTGCACCTTTAGTCGTCAATCTGACATCTTTTTTCTTTAACACTTTGAAGAGGTCTTTTGCAGCAGATTTGCCCAATACAGTACATTATTTGGTTTCTTTCTGGTGCTTCCATGATTGCTGATTGTTGAAATCTAATGAACTCCTTGATAACTTCAATATTTTCCATTTTTCATGATGCTGTTTATTGGTCCATCTGTGAAGATTTTTTAGTTGTAGTCCATACTGAAGGCTTTATTCTTTGATCTGCATCAGTAAGTGCTTCAAGTCCAGTTGACTTTCAGCAAGCAATGTTGTATCATCTACATATTGCAGGTTAATGAGCCTTCTTCCATTCCTGATGCCACATTCTTTTATTGTCTAGTTTCTCAGATTATTTGCTCAGAATACAGATTGAGTAAGTATGGTGAAAAGGATACAACCCTGACAAACACCTTTCCGGATTTTAAACTGTGCAGGATTCTCTTGTTCTATTCAAAAGACTGCCTTTCGTCTCTGTGCAGGTTCCACATGAGCACAGTTAAGTGTTACGGAATTCCCATTTTCCCCAATGTTATCCATAGTTTTCTATTCACACAGTTGAATGCCTCTGCATAGTCAATAAAACGCAAGTAAAGATCTTTCTGGTATTTTCTGCTTTCACCCAAGATCCATCTGACGTCAGCAACGATATCCCTCGTTCCACGTCCTTTTCTGAATCCTGCTTGAATTTCTAGCTGCTCCCTGTGGATGTGTTGCTACAACAGTTCTGGAATCCTCTTCAGCAAAATTTTACTTGCATGTTATATTAATGATATTGTTGGATAATTTCCACATTCTGTTGGGTCATCTTACTTTGGAATAGGCCCAAATAAGATCTCTTCCAGTCAGTTGGCCAGGTAGCCATCTTCCAAATACCTCAGCATAGACTACTGAGTGCTTCCAGTACTGCATGTTGAAACATTTCAATGGATAGTCTATCCATCCCTGGAACCTTGTTTTTTGCTAATGCCTTCAGTGCAGCTTGGACTTCTTCCATCAATACTATCAGTTTTTGTTCATATGCTGAAATAGTTAAATATCAATCAATTCTTTTTGGTACAGTGACTCTGTATTTGTTCCATCTTCTTTTCATGGTTTCTGCATTGTTCAATATTTTGTCCTTAGTAGTGGTAGTTGTTATTAAGTGCAGTTGAGTTGATTCCACTCATAGTGACACTGTATGTGGTTTCTGAGGAGCAGCTGGTGGGTTTAAACTGCTGACCTTGTGGTTCACAGCCCAGTGCTGATCCTATAGCACACACACCAGAAGTCCGTCCATAATAGCAGTAGTTAAATGCCGCTGAGTTGGTTCAGACTCATGGCAACCCTGTATAGGTTTTCCAAGGAGCGGCTGGTGAGTTTGAACTACCCACCTGTGGCTCAAACCAACCTTGCAGTTCAGTGCTTATCTTTTAGTGCCATACCAATAGTCACTTAGAATCCTTCATGTCAGCTGGATGCTTCACTCTCAGCTCTAGCCCTCCATGGCTATGTCCTTGTTCATGGGCTCAGGAGTCCCCAGGTCTCACCACACTTTAGACCAACCAGTTCTTCCTCTTCTCCCTCTCATCTCCAGGTTGATGGGAGTCCACGGAATATGATCTAACTCAGCCCATATCTTCATTGCTGCCTTTCCCCTACTTCCACTCACCAGTAGACCAATGTGGTTGCCAGCAAGCTTACATGCCTGCTCATATGTTCCCTTTGCATTTCAGTCTTAGAGGGGGGGTTGTCCTGAAGGGATTTGATTGCGTGCCTTGATGGCTCACCGGTGAACTACTTTCTTGTTCTTGTAGTAGCTAATCATGCTGCCATTTTTGTTTTTGATTGTACCTGCTGGTCTTTCTTTCAAGAAGCATCTTTTGTTCCTTTAGCTGCTCCAGGCTGGTCTGCTTGCCCTTTCCAGTGGGTATGTCCCACCGCAAAAGGTTCTGGATAGGGCTCAGAATTCCACCTAAGGTCATATACACTACAAAGGCATCACAAGAAGCTTATTTCACTGGGCAAGTTCTGGAA